TCTGAAAGAAGGCATATATGAAAAGGTTCAAGAAGAACCAAATAAAGATAAGGATCTAGATGACGAGGACGGAACAGAAAAGTATGAGATTTCCATCAACTACGCCCAAGATGAATAGTTATGGATCAGAAATAAGATTAAAGATGTTGATGGAATGTTCTCCTTTTCTGTGTCCAAAGAAATAGATCACGAAAGTGATGATCCTGATCCAAGGTCCATTTTAGAATATATGAAAAGACATGATTGGGAGGAATGGAAGAAGGCCATTGAAATTGAATTACTCTCCCTAAATAAGAGAAATGTCTTTGGACCTATAGTCATAACGCCTGAGAATATAAATCCTGTTGGGTATAAGTGGGTATTCGTGAGAAAAGTAAATGAAAGGAATGAAGTAACACGATATAAAGCCCGATTAGTAGCCCAAGGTTTTTCTCAGAGACCAGGAATTGATTTTGAGGAAACATATTCCCCGGTGATGGATGCAATAACGTTTAGATTTTTGATGAGCCTTACGGCATCAAAGAATCTTGAAATGCATCTTATGGACGTTTTGACTGCATACTTGTATGGATCATTGGATAATGATATATACATGAAACTCCCTGAAGGATTGAAAATGCCAGAAGCATTTAAAGAGAAACCCAGGGAGACTTGTTCGGTCAAGTTGCAGCGATCACTTTACGGATTAAAGCAGTCCGGTCGCATGTGGTACAATCGCTTAAGTGAATATCTCTTGAGAAAAGGATATGTGAATAATGCGATATGTCCATGCGTTTTTATAAAGAAATCGTCATCTGGCTTTGTGATCATTGCTGTATATGTTGATGACCTGAACATTATTGGAACTCAAAAGGAAGTTGATGATGCACGAACTCATATGAAAGAAGAGTTCGAAATGAAAGATCTCGGAAAGACAAAGTTTTGTCTTGGGCTCCAGATTGAGCATCTCCGAGAAGGTATATTTGTACATCAATCAAATTATACGAAAAGGTTATTGAAACGCTTTCGTATGGACAAAGCAACTCCTTTGAGTACTCCGATGGTTGGTAGGACTCTCGTTGTTGAGAGAGATCCTTTTAGACCCTGTGAAGATAGCGAAAAGATGTTAGGTCCAGAAGTACCTTACATGAGTGCTATCGGTGGGTTGTTATATCTAGCGAATTGTACCAGACCTGATATTGCCTTTGCCACTAATCTTCTTGCAAGATATAGTTCGGCTCCTACTCATAGACATTGGAACGGAATCAAATACATATTCCGTTACCTTCAAGGTACGGTTGATCTAGGTTTAATGTATTTTAGAAAACCCGAGTTTGGTATGGTTGGTTTTGCAGATGCAGGATACTTATCAGATCCTCATAAAGCTCGTTCGCAAACCGGCTATGTTTTTACAATCGGTGGGACAGCGATCTCTTGGCGTTCACAGAAGCAAACTCTGGTTGCAACATCTTCGAATTATGCAGAAACCATTGCACTTCACGAAGCCTGTCGAGAATGTGTGTGGCTTAGATCAATGAGTTACCACATACAAGAAACAAGTGGAATAATTGATAAGAAAGAGCCGACGAAAATGTTCGAAGACAATTCGGCGTGTGTTGCTCAACTTAAAGAAGGTTATATCAAGAGCGACAGAACAAAGCACATGCCTCCAAGATTTTTCTCATACATACGACAGCTCGAGAAAAATAAAGAAGTGGACATAGAATATGTACGGTCATGCGACAATCCCGCAGATTTGTTTACAAAGGCCCTTCCTACTACGACGTTCCGAAAACACGTCTACGGTATCGGAATGCGGCATTTGCGTGATTTATGAAGAAAAAGCTATGTCCATTATGTTTAGGAGGAGATTACGTTAGTGTACTCTTTTTCCTTTTTCATGGTTTTTTAGCCCAACGGGTTTTTCCATGACTAAGGTTTTAACGAGGCATTACGTAATAAAATATGACTAATCAAGGGGGAGTGTTACAGAATGATTAGTCATTCAATAGGACACTTGTCTCTTATTCATCATGCTTAGTCATATTAATATGTATCCTTATCATAGCAATAGGTGTCTTTGTATAAGACAATCTCATGTACTATAAATAGACGTGAGATGTGTGAAATATAATGAAGTTGAATCATTTTGTATCTTCTTTCTTCACACCACAACTCAACTCTCTTGTTACTTTGTTTACACAAGAAGACATAAGCGATAAAGTTGTTCTTTCTCTGATTACTAATATTCAACGCAATCTTGAATAATCATCTTTTCTAAATATTGTCTCAGCCTTCAACTTCTACAACCTTCTTGTCTTTTTTATTATAAGTTTTGCTTCAACCATTTGGCAACCTGAACACAACCGGTAGGCTAAAAACATTGTACTAAGTCATTTGTACAGACATAACTTAGCATGTAAATTTCAGATGCATATATATTCGAATGTCATCTTACACTTATTTTAAAATAAAATGGGTTAATCATTTAATAATGGTATTTCTTTCATTTGTAACTATAATTTAATTTCACTACAAAGGAGAGTAGTCTTCTTCACTCAGCACATAGCTGTAATAGTCTACTGCTATATTTGATGAAACATAGTGTAAACTCATATATTTTACCATTGACTTCTGATAGCATTGAGTTATCTTCATTTGGGTACACTTTTCATAAACTTCATCGTAAAAACACATCTAAGTTACTTACAAAGAAATTCATATGAGAGAGAGACAAATACTCAAACTTCCTCTAGGAAATCTTAATAATAAAAAATACCTCATTTTTCATCACGAACAGCAACGCAATCTCTCGATGTATCGAACAGAAAGAAGCGTGAGTAATGCTTGCGAACAACAACACCAATGTCGAAGTATATAAGACCACAGCCACGTCAATTCTGATTCCTTTAACTGGAAACCACAAAAACAAACAGATTCAGCATAACTTATTCCCGACTAATCACCTATGTGAGCATAACTTATTAACCCGTAACATTCGTGTTGTAACGCAGCTCTGTCTGGTACTTACTTGGCATTGCAAGACTGATTCAAATAAAGAGACTGATTGCAACGCGCGCTCTCTCTAACTTTTTTCTATACTTTCTTAACTTGTTTACATAATGAAATAAGATAGAAAACAAACAGATTCAGCATAGTCTGATCAGTAAAATATGTAATCAGGGGCGTCAGTCTTTACTGCCTGTTGAACCCAATAATTGAACAAACTATTAGTTGACTACTTTATCTTACTTACTGCTTAACATAACAAAAATATTTAATAACATTTACTGATAGCGGACCTTGATATTGTCTATTTGTGAGTCTGAACATCACATTATTCTGAGGCTTGAATTAAAAATGAATAATGTGATGCTTAGTCATCTTCCAATCACACAGATTGAGAGATCGATCAAATTCACCATGGAACTTAGTACCAATTTCATCCAAACTTTGACGAAGTGCAAGAGATTTTTCAGCATACCTTGACACGAATCTGCAACTCTATCACATCAGCTGACTTCTTCGCATAAACTGAATATGAGAGACACAGCATAAAGAAAAGGAGATCAGATTAATTGATTGCAAAAGTATCGGTTTTTGGAAAACATAGAAGAGCAATGAGATTATACCATATCGCATATACCTGATGTTAAAGCAGCAAGTAAAACCAAAACTCCACAGATTTCATGGTGAATGCAGGGCTAATCATCTCTTACTTCTTTCATTGATTATACGGTACATCTGCAGTAAGTTTTGCCTCAACAAACGGGTTTAAAATATCTCGTTCAAAAAAAAGGTTCAATGAAGATCTATATATGAATGTGAATGCCAAAAATAATTGAAAACTAACATGATCATGAGATTTAAGAATGGTTAAACCTTCGGAGGAGCATGTCAACCCCCATTAACTCGAACAAATGAACAAATGAGTTAGCAATGATACTGGAACTTTTTTTCAGATTATCACGAAATGGGAGAATAGTGTTCAAAGGGAGAAAGCTTACTCTTTCATAGGTAAAGAAACACCGCCTAGATGATGGATGAGTATTATTGAATGGACGTCGTGCTTGATTTGCGTCAATGGAGATAAGAAGTTTCTTAACGACGAAACGGCGCAGTAGAAGCTTGAGACAGTGATTCTTCACGACGATTCATATCTTTCGAAATTTTTTGCATACCTATTTATACAGTGAATCTCGCTGACTCTGAGAAGCAATTGATGAATTGAAGAGGAGATCGTGGTAGGTGAGTAAATGATATGGTCAATGTTCTCAAGTTAGAAAAATCAAACGACGCCATGAAAGCTTCAGAATATCTAACACAGACGGCAAGAAAGCTAGAGGAGGAAAACCCTAATTCGTGTGAATGAGTTAGGATTTGCAGAGAGTGGACCGGATCTAATTTTGAAGCCCCGTGACACAATAAAAACCCAAACGGAAATAAAACAAAACGTTAAGTTTTGTATATTGCCAGATGTCACGACAGCAACTCCCCTATTAGTGACATGGCACTCTCTTGAATGAGAAAAGACTACTTTATAGTATTAGATCTTAAGAGCATCATCAACGCAGGTGCTTCATGGAGTGCTTAATGACTTTTGGATTTAAAAAAAAATAAAAAACATGTAATTATAGAAGCACCACTGCCTAATTAAGCTTCAGAAGCAGCGTGTCTTATTGGACACGTGTTGACGCGTCCCTTTCTCTCTCTCTCTCTCACGAAACTCAAGCTTTTCTTGTGCATCTCTCGACGACTCCGCCTTCAATTTTCTCCTTCTCTCGACGAAATCGATCTCTCGTCGATGCCTCCACGACGCCTCAGTGATTCTCAATCGACAATCTCTTGTCGTCTCTTTCTCTCCTTGACGCCTCCTCGCCACCTCCGTGATGAATCAATGATGATCTATCTTCGTCTCTCTCGCTGAAAAAGTGTCAAGAGACTGTGAAGCAGTTGAGAGAGAGAGAGATGGGAGGGGTACGTGAGACACCCGATGGCTACCTCTACTCTGCTTTATTCCCATGGTAACGCAGCCGATATGGGTCAGATGTATGAGCCCTTCATCGAATTAAGTATCCATCTTAAGGTTAATCTTATGGGGTATGTCAAAGTCTCAACCTTTCCTCTGTTTTTTATTTATTTCATGACTCCATAGTTTATACACAGAGCTCTGTTTTATGATTAGCTCTAATTGTCTGTAATTATGTTCAGTTTGGTGATGTTTTTGTTTGAATTTGATTAAACTCGCTAAGTCTTATTTGTTGATTTTGACTATAGATTGTCTCGTAGTCCAGTTTGATGAGATGGAAGATACAGAGCGTACTCCTGACGTTAATACAAGCTCTCCGGATTTGCTGAAGAACACACCTTCAAACATCACCAGGTTAGAAGATGTAATCGAGCAATGCCGTGCCAGACAAAAGTATCTCGCTCAAACCGCAAATCCGTCAGATTGCAGTGATGTTTGTTGGTACTTCTGTAAGGTTCCTTTGCCTGACAACGGTCAGTTTTTAATTACCTTCTTGTTTCTGCTTCCATAATTTGGGACGAAATTGAAAGAAACCATAGAGAAGAGATTGATACATTAAATCCTTTTTAAATGTTATGTTCTGCAGAAATAGCTGCTTCAGTACCTCGCACCGATGTGATAGGAAAGAGTGAGTATTTATGTTTGGTCATTGATGTTTGCATTGGTTGAGCTAGGTAGTTAATGTTTTTGGTCTGTTTGAATTGATGTTGGTAATGAAAAAAAGATTGGTTTAGGTTGCGGTAGGTAGTTAAAGTTATTGTCGTGGAGTTTCTGTTGCTTGTTGATTAAGTTGTGAAAAAAGAAAGAGAGAAAGAGTGAAAGAGTGGAAGATGTTCTTGTCTCATCCGTGGATCGCATGTTTTTCTCTGCTCTGTGGCTCACATGTTCTTGTAAGCTTGTAGAAGTCTGTAACGAGTCTTGTAACCTTTGTTGTATCAAGTCACTAGTCTTGTAATGTTTGTTGAAAGAGAGTCTTGTAATTTTCTTTGTAATGTTTCTTCTTTTAAAAAAATTTCAAATTTAAGAACTCCTAATTAAGCACCTACCATTAGAGCACACATTCTACTACTTACTTAAATAGAGTTCTTAGGTAAAATCAACTAATTAAATAATCATTAAGCAACAATATGGGGTGTTAGCGTTGAGGCTGCTCTAAGTATATCTACCACCTCCACCATTATTTATTGGTTTATTTATACTTGTGTTTGGAAGATATACATTACAACAACATAATTTCGAAGCTATTTCAACGATAAAACTACGTTAAAAAAAACATCAACAGGGGGTGGTCACAGCTATAATCCATAAGAGTACATTCAGTCCACATTAACATTGTCTGTAAAATCCACAAATCCTAACGTACTAACGTACAGTAAACGTTTCAGGTATTATATGTCGATCTTAACATGGTGTCTCGACTCTCTTTTAAGTCTCAAAACTTAACAGAGGAAGAGGAAGGCATTAGTATGCTATTTCGCAGAACTCTGATTACACTATATTTACGTTGTTTTGGCTAAATTACATGAGCATTGTAATACTTTATTAATTTATAACATTATTAATCGATAAAATTATTTTCAAATAGCATGAGGAAAATTTCCAACAAATAAGTTGTTATAAAACAAAGTTCACCAAATCCTAAAATAATTTTCAAAACACAATTAGTAAGACACGAAAAATTAAAGAAAAAAAATATTATAAATTGAAAATCTAAACTAAACTGAAACAAACATATATTATAAAACATCATTTGTTGTTTAATAACATATGTTCATTATTATTTTGAAATTATTAAAAATATTTATATATTATTTTAAAGTATATTGTTAAATTTTAATCACGCTACATCATATTTTCAGTTGATTTAGTTTGAAGGTGGATTAACTTATTAACAAGAGAAAATTAATTATTATAATAGTATTAAACTTATACTCATAGAAATTACAAAAACATTAGTTATTCTTACTTTAGATTTTCTTCGACTATATCTAAGTGAAAACAGAAATAAAATAAAAAAGCAGAAATATAAATCATTTTATTTTCTTAACTTTTTAATTTCATATTTTTGTTCTCTAACAAGAAAATTTTAGTGGTATTTTCGATTCAAACCAATAAAATTTAATAGAATCTTGAATAAAAATACTATATTTATTCAATTTAAAGTAATTTTTGAATTATTTTGTAAGACTAGAATATATATTAATTTAAATAGTATCAGTATAAAATCACCCGCCCATACGACGGACCAACCAATTAATAATTTGTGGTTTTTTTGACAAATGCGAGAAATGGATTTGTTTTGACTTTCAAGATTCATTGCTTCAGGTAAAGACAAATGTTCTGCTATGATTTCATCAGGTTTTCAACTTGGTCTCCGTCTAGCCAATTTCTGGTTTAACCCTCCATAAGATGGTGAATCTGTGAGGGGTGGATCATCACTATTTTACGGGTCTGGCGTGGCAGCTTGCTATTGATCAGTGTAATTTTTCTTTTAAAAAAAATCAAATGAAAAAATAAAAATAATAATAAAAAATTCAAATTGTGAACTCCAACCGGAAGTTTATCAATGCGCTTGCTCTAAAACAGCCGTCCATACAGAAGTTTAACATCAACACGTCCCCTTTATTGATCTTACCAATAAAGTTATAAAGGTCGAATACTTTCTGTTTAAAGGATTTTCAAACCGTTTGTTTTTCTTTGCTCAATTCCAACTTTACATAACCAAAGCAACTATCAAGTTTGGTCTACACAACAAAGCAAACTTCACATATACAACTTTGATCGTTTTTTTTGTTTGGATTTGAAGTTTGATTTTTATGTTAACATGTAGTAATTTTTTTTTCAAATAAACATATAATTTCAGTGTTTCACTTGCATTCCATTGGTAAACTGAAGTCCAAACTATACCAAAGTTTCAGAGAAAAAAGTTGTTTTAGCAGAAGTAAAAATTGTTGATTGTATATATATCTTTTTAGTTCTTCAAATATAAAATAAATTTTACGGTAAGGCAAAATTCTGAAGTCTCTCTTTTGATCGATGTTTTGTGAACATTCCATTCATCAGGGAAGAGAAACCAAAGTCTTTGCCTGATTGAGAAGATGGAGTGGTGCCCGTTGGTTTTGCCGCGGGTGATGACTGAGGTTTACCACTTGAGTTTGGGTTTGCCATACCGTTTGCCGCATTCTTAGCTCGACTCGTCGTGTAGAATCTGCATTATAGATGATATAAAGTCAGTATATATTAAAAGTACATTTAATCATTTATGTCCAAAAGGGCAAACTGAATGAGAGGTACAGTTTAATTTTAATATATGATACAACCAAAAATCAGTATTATTTACATACCTGGATGATGGATATTAGGACTGTTCTCTTGCCGTTGTGCGGGTCTCATGTTAATGTTTGCGTTCATGTTCATATTCTAAAAGTTATACAACAGAGAGCAGAAATAACCTGTGAGAATTTTGCAAGAACTTTGTAAATGGTAATTTAAATCTTAATGAAGATCTTACTTGCATAAGTTTCTGGAGATCAGCTTGGTCACCTCCTGGGTTAGTCATTTCAGGGATCTCGTAGCCATTGTTTGACCAATTTGCAGATGCTAAGTTAAGAGAATTAGCAACAGCTTGTTGATTTAAGCCATTTGGAGGGCCTCCTGCCGCTTTTGCTGCAGCCATGTAAAGGGCTTGCTGCTGCGCAAGCATAGCATACTGTTGCTGATGCATGGCAAAAGGTGACACCATATTCGACTGTAAACAATTGAAAGATACAAACGTTACATTTCCAATTCCAAATGTCCAATGCTGAAAGAATCAGAGTAAGTGATACAAGACACAACACATGCGTTTTTTGTTGGAAGTATCAGTCACGCTATATATGTAACTTGTGAATTCAATACGAGCCAGAAAAAGAGTATATAACTGACTTCAGAAATTACCTTCTCAAACATGCTCATGATACCACCTTTCACATCTTTCTGTGGTGCTTGTTGAGCTGTTAAAGTAGGCGTGTCTTTAAATAAATCCTCGATTCCAGTAGCTGGAGGAGAACTGCTCTCATCAGGCTTTGCTGTGACAATTTTCTCTGCCGTTTGACCACTTACAGCCGCTGGAATTTTAGGATTGAGAAATTGATAGTACATTAGTCTAGAGAATTTTCAATGAAAAAGTAACATAAAGTTCACAAGTATTTGAAGATTGTACCACAGTGATCATTATCACGCACTAGATAAGATAAATACATTGAAAGCCAGCCCATGAGTTATCATCAGCAGAAGCTGTCTCTGAGGTATATAAAGTCGGCTCATCCACTGATAGCATGTCGAATAGGTCAGCAGCAAAATCCACCTTTGGAGGATCTGATGCCGGTGAAACACTTACTGCTGGTTTCGTTGTCTCCACAGGGGCAGCTACCGATTCTATTTTCTGTTGTGGCATAATAACCTATCAATTTTTTTTAGCAAAATGTATCAGAAAAAACAGCCTTCGGATACTTTTAATAAGATTGAAAATTCACCCTTGGACCCTAGAAACAAATTTTCTACTAAATGTAAGAATAAAACTATATAAAACCTGACATCCACATGCATTATTTCTGATACTAGTAGGCTATTAAATAAGAGCATGGCATGGATTCTTGATAATTATGAATAACTAAAGGGCACTCATTTCTTTATTAAAAAGTATCGTCAATACAGTATGCTTGGTACCTGATTAGGACCTTGGGGACTGGGGAGGCACGGAAGACTTATCCTCGTTGCAGCAACACTATTTCTTGTTCTAGGTGCTTGGACAGTTTTTTTCTCGTCGAACAAATTTACAGGACTACTACTGTGCCCATGCTCATATCCAGACACTGTCCTCTCCACAGATCTTCGCCGTTCCTGCTCCACTCTTGGGGGTGATCTAGCCTTTTAACCTTTAGTTACTGATGCGATCATCAAACCAGTAGCTGAACCGGAGGTCCATCCAACACACCACTCATCCAACACACCACTCATCCAACTAAGGCGCCAAGCAGGACATATATACAATAAAAATGCCATATCTTTAAAACCAGGAGGGTTTAAATCACGAAACCAATTTTCATGGATTCTACACTCAAGTAGAAAGTCCATACCGATTGGAATTTAAAGAAAATATCCACGGAAGAAGAAGTTAGGAATTTTTCAAGACAGAGTTTTCCAGCCCATTCATCTGCGAGCATCACTCGACTTTAGAAGGAGTTTCAAGCCCAAAGAATGAATGTCCCGAGCCAAAACCGATCATAGAAATCAAGAAGAGTTTGTCAGCTTTCCATAGAGCCCAAAACCAAGAGAATAGGACGGGTAAACCAGGAGATATGATCAATTTCCCCAAACCGGTCAAACCAGTCTTACACTTGCCTTATTTGGAAGATCGGGGTTTTGCCTTAACCCAATCTGAAGAAAGACGACCAGAAGAGCTTCTACATCATCTAGAGACACTCCACAACATCTTAAGAAGCACCAGCACACATGGTATCAGGAGGATCTCAATCAGACCAGAGGAGAAGACTGGTTTGCACCAAATTGCCAAACCGACATCAATTGAAGAGAAACTTAACCTAATTCAGTTTGGTCCGACCCAAACCTTTCTGTGGAAGCCAGGAGATACTCTAGACCATCCAGAAGACCTTATCCACCAGCCAGAAGAGTTCCATCACTTCCTACCATGCACCAGTCCACATAGGATCAGGAGGATCCACATTTATCCCACCTTGCCTTATTTGGAGTCTCAGCCATTAAAACTCCAACAGCTCTTTTGCCAAGAGCTATTGCACGAAACCAGCAGCTTCCAAGCAATACAGAAGGTCCCAAGGAAGCTCTCTTATCCATTAAAACCGTCCAGGTTCAAAAAGAATCAAGTTCCTCACTTGGAGCCAAGAATCCCACTAAATTCTCCAACGGCTAGTTTTCGATTTCTTGTTTTGTGTTTGATTCTTTTCCTTTTATATTTGTTTAGAACGTTGACAACCTTGTCTCTGAGCATTATATAAGCTCTTAGACGTCCATTGTATCATTCACCTTTCAGCTAATTAAGTTTATAAGAAGTTTCTTCAGTTTTTATCAAAGTTTGTTCTTTGCATAAAATATCGATCTTTAGGATTCAAAGTGTGATTCTTTGTAGTCTTATTGATTTCGTGAGTCTAGTTTGTTTGTGCAAATAAAACAAGCTCAGTACACAGGTTGAGAGAGTCAATCACATCGATCCATCATCCCACCAGATTGAGAGATTCAATCAAAGCTTCATCCGCAACTCCCCTTCAAGTCCATCAACCGATTAGGCTGAGAGTGTCACACGACCAGTAGCTTAATTCCACCTTATCTATCCCTTTACTTTGTTTATTTACTTCTCATCTTGTTTAAACCATAGAAAAACTCATAAAAATCATTCCTTTTATTTCAGGTACATTTCACAGCCATCACACTCACTCCCACAAGCCCTCATCGCTGTACCGGAACCACCCATCAGGAACCTCCGATCCTCTCTTTGTGCTAGCTGGTTTCCAGCCTGTATCATTTGGTATCAGAACCTAAGGCTCTTGAACAGGTTCATTATATCCTTGCATTCATATTTGTTTTTCATTTGTTTTGTTTTTATAAATAAAATATAAAAAAACAGTTTCTGCATTTTGTGTTCTTGCTACATTCATAAACAAAAGAGAAGAAGTTTCATGCATTTGATCCACGAAAATTTGAAAAGAAAACTCATTAGTTGTTTGTATTCATTCCCCCAGCTCCACCTTCCATATTTGTTTTGAGCATTCATTTCAAAAAAAAAAAAATATATGCATTCATATTTGTATCTTTGAATCTTACATTTAAAACAAAATAAAAAGGCATACCATATCATGTTAATTTCGTGAATATCATATTGTTTCATACTTTAGTAGCTTGCATACAGAAAAAAAAAAAATCATTTTTCTTAGCTTATATCATTTTGGTCCTAGCATACATATTTGTTTCACTTTGGTTTATTGCATTCTTAAAGTAAAAACTCAAAACAAAATATCAGTGTTTGTTTTCATTGCATATTTTCTTTTCATATCTGTTTATCATCATTTCATATAGTTTATTTCAAGTTTGCATCCAGATATCCAAAAGAAAAAATCATTTTAGATTAATTTATTTCATTTCGGTTCAATTGACATATTTTCTCGGTTTAGTTTAATTAGTTTGCATTTGGTTACTTATTTTTGGTTCGACCAGTACTTCCCTATCCTTCACTTGTTCTCTGAGATTGATTTCAGGAAGCCATGGAAGAGGAAGCACACGGCCAAACCCTAAGGGTTGCACTGAGCCAACACTCCGCAGCTTTACAAAAGCTCCAAAAACAGATTGCCCAATTGAAGAAAAGAAATAAAGCACAAGTCCAACGACCACAGCATGAAGAAAGAAGATTTGGAGATGCACCAGAGGCTGTTTATGTTGAACCCAAGCCACCAGATCCTTCAAGGATCCACCAGAAATCAACTTCTAAAACCCACAGCCATATTGTTCATAATTCTCGGTTTGATTCTAGTTTTGTTGCTGATAAAGTTAAACTCTTTACATTTTCAGGAAAAAGAGGATATCTGAGATGGAAGAGGAACCTTGATGAGTGGTTTCACTTCAACAACATCCTGAAAAAAGAGAGGCTAGCTTATGCTATTGATCAACTTAGAGAAGAAGCCTTTAAATGGTGGGTACAAGAAGAAGATGATAGATGGTTTTACAAGGAGCCAACTATCAAAACGTGGAGAGCCCTTAAAGAAGTCATGAGAGCTGAGTTTGCACCAGGTTTTACAAGTTTTGAAATCCAAGAACTTTATCTAAGGAGGTATCCAACTCATGGTTCTAAAGAGGCAAAGAGAGATGTACCACAAGAAGGCCATAGAAGCTTGATCCATCAAGACCAGATCCGGACAAACAAGAGAGCCACGGTTTTTCATGATCATTACCAGCCTTATAAGGTCCCAAAGGCCATGGAGAAGAAGAAAGATGTTATCCAAAACACCTTGATCAGATCCAAAGAAAACCAGAACAAGGTATTGTCCAAGTAAAGGCTATGGTAAGTCCTATACTTGATCATTTGGTTTATAAATCATCTCCCACTGGTATGAATCACTTGTCTTTGTCCAAGAGTGTTAAGACAGGCCCTCAGCTCCAGAAGGACACGTTCCCAACATCCTTGTTGGAATCCAAAGTTGTCCATGATTTATGAGATTCCATACTCAAAGAAAGAAGAGGCATCAAGCCAAGGTAACTCTTTTAATTCTAAAATTCTGAAAGATCAGACATGTTATAGATGTCATAAAATAGGACACTTTGCTGTAGCTTGCCCTACTAAGAAATCATTGATAGAAACATCACTACGAGAGAAAACAGATTTATCGAGAAAATGTGATAGTTTTATTCATTCTGATTTATTTGTTCAAAATTCTTGTATGATGCACTTGTCGTTGTCAAGAGGTGTTGTAACAGGAATTAAGGAGGAGAATAACCACCAGACATCACCCATGTGATGGACCAGAAGCTGGTTCAAAGCACATTGCAGTCCATGTTGCTTAAAGAAGCAAAACCAGTAACTAATGTATCAAGTCAAGGTAAGTGTTTAACACCACCTTTATATACTGGTTCTGAAATGTATGCCCTTGATCTAGGGAGCAAGAATGAAATCCCTATACTGACTGAAGTGCCAAGGGCCGAGCCTAACCATGAGCTCAGTCATGAACCACCTAACAAGTGGAAGCCCAAAACTGAACAATGTGTTGTTCAACTACCAAGGTTTAAAGTTTGTTTCACATTAGATCAGAATTTTATTAATTATTCTATGTCAAGATTAATGCACTTGTCTTGTCCAAGAGAATGTGAAATATTTTCAGGAACCATGGTGGAGTACACTGCCCAACAGAATGAAGCATCAACCATGATGTTGAGCAGAAACCAGTCCAAAGAGAGGCTGCAATGCCATTCAAATCCAGCCTAAGTAAGGAAATTGTTTCTAGTATGAGTTCGTCCATATTACTTGATTACCCAGGTATAATGCACTTCTTTGCTAGAAAATTTTGATCCAGGAATAAGACAAGAAGATGGTCATACCAGCCAAGGCAAGACTTTGCAAGAAAAGCAGCCATCTAACCAAACTTGTCCAAAGAAGAAAATAATTCTTCAACTTATGGAAGCTATATATCAAAGTAAGTCTGAAAATTTCATATTTTGAATATCACTATTCTTTTTTTTTTTTTGTCACCAACTACTTTCATTCATAACTTAGTTTGGTGGGGGCATTAACTCAGCCTCACCCACCTCTTGATCCAACAACAACAACGATTGTTTTGCAAGCATATCTGCTTCGACATTCCTCAAACGAGGAATCCACATAAACTCAACAAAAAGAAACTCCTTAGACAATCTAACAATGTCTTCATAGATGCCATAAATCTCCAACTCCGGTTGCACCCTGTTAATAGCCTGGATTAGTTGATCCGAGTCCGATTCAAAACGTACCTCCGTCACTCCTTCTCTTTGACAGTGTAACATTGCCTCCCTAAGCGCCAATCCTTCCGCAACAAGTACCGAGTAGACGGATCTACAACCTCCCTGGCCAACAACCTTCGATCCTCTGGTCTGCACCACCCAACTAATTCCCGCTATCCTTTTGTTAGCTGACCACGCAGCATCTGATCTTGTAACAGTTGAGGTCTGCGCTGGCATCGCTTGCTGTTTAGCTCCGGGCCTGTTTTCCTTTATGTTTTGCCCTACCTCCCATTCCTTGGCCGCACGTATTGCCTATGACACAATCTCTGCTGGATCTCCAGCAAGATTTTCAAAGAGAAACCTATTTCTCGCCTTCCACAATGACCACAATATCCATGGCACCAGTGGCGTATGGATAATTCCCGTTGGAGGGAGACACTTTTGGCCATGAATCTCATTCCAATCAGCTCTTAAATCTGTCAATCCACTAACTTCAAAGCTTCTGCCTAAGGGGGCAAGATTCCACACCTATCGGGCAAAAGAGCAATGAAACAATAGATGATTGATAGATTCTGAGGCTCCACATCGTTTACATTTCGGGTCAACATCAATATGGCGTTCCAGAAGCCGCTCTCCCACCGGCAAAATGCCCTTCAAACATTTCCAAGTAAACATCTTAATCTTAGGTGCCACTTTCAAATTCCACACTGTTTTTTGCAAACTAAATTCAGTAGTAGCTTCCTCTGCAAGAATCTCTTCCGTCGCTTCCCGCATTGCTATATGATATCCCGTCTTAACCGAGTACTCACCCGTTTTTGTTCCTAGCCATTTCAACGCATCAGGTGCGCCTCTGGAACTCGGTTTGATTCCTATGATTTTCTCCTCATCGTTTGGCAGGATCCTTTGTATCAACACTCTGTTCCATTCACCCGACTCTTTAATGATGAGGTCTTTCACCCTCATTGACGCTGTCTCTCTGGTCGCCAGCCCCATAGGTCGAGTTGGCGTCACTAAACACAGCCAGGGGTCTTCCCAAATCTTAATAGAAGCACCATCTCCCACCACCCATCCTACACTTTTTATCAGTATTCAAACACAGATATAATGCACTTGCTTTTCCAGAATGTTGAGAATTTTTCATGTTGCAAAGAAGTAAGCTTCAAAGACATCCCACAAAATGATCTTTTGATGCTAGGAGGATCAAATCCAAAGGAGACCAGAAACGTGACTACCCAGGCTTTGGAGAACCATCCAATCCAGAAGAGATGGAATGTCCAAGTCCACAGCAGAGGTGTGATCCTTTCCTATCTTTTCAAAGAAGAGCCACCAAATGTACCATGCATCACCAAACCAAAATTGTATCATCAAGGTAAGGTTCTAAACTCCCAAAAGAGAATGAAACCTGACTTGCTCTATTGTGGTGTATCAGGTTATCCAGTTTTGAGGTCAAAACCTTTACAAGAGGGAGGGAATGATGCGGCCATCAAACCAGTAGCTGAACCGGAGGTCCATCCAACACACCACTCACCCAACCAAGGCGCCAAGTAGGACATATGTGCAATAAAATGCCATATCTTTTAAACCAGGAGGGTTTAAATCACGAAAACAACTTTCATGGATTCTACACTCAAGTAGAAGTCCATCCCAAATGAAATTTCAAGAAAAGATCCACGGAAGAAGAAGTTATGAATTTTTCAAGACAGAGGTTTTCCAGCCTATTCATCTGTGAGCATCACTCAAGTTTAGAAGGAGTTTCAAGCCCGAAGAAGGAACGGCCCGAGCCAAAACCGATCATATAAATCAAGAAGAGTTTGTCAGCTTTCCAGAGAGCCCAAAACCAAGAGAATAGGACGAGTAAACCAGGAGATATGATCAATTTCCCAAACCGGCCAAACCAGTCCTACACTTGCCTTATTTGGAAGATCCGGGTTTTGCCTTAACCCAATCTGAAGAAAGACGATCAGAAGAGCTTCTACATCATTCAGAGACACTCCAAAACATCTTAAGAAGCACCAGCACCCATGGGATCAGGAGGATCTCAATCAGACCAGAGGAGAAGATCGGTTTGCACCAAATTACCAAACCGACATCAATTGAAGAGAAGCTTAACCTAATTCAGTTTGGTCCGACCCAAACCTTTCTATGGAAGCCAGGAGATACTCTAGACCATCCAGAAGACCTTATCCACGATCCAGAGGAGTTCCATCAGTTCCTAACATGCACCAGCCCACATAGGATCAGGAGGATTCACATTTATCCCACCTTGCCTTATTTGGAGTCTCAGCCATTAAAACTCCAACAGCTCTTTTGCCAAGAGTTATTGCACGAAACCAGAAGCTTCCAAGAAATACAGAAGGTACCAAGGAAGCTCTCTTATCTATTAAAACCGTCCAGGTTCAAAAAGAATCAAGTTCCTCACTTGGAGCCAAGAATCCCACTAAATGCTCCAACGGTTAGTTTTCGATTTCTTGCTTTGTTTTTGATTCTTTTCCTTTTCTATTTATTTAGAACGTTGAAAAACTTGTCTCTGAGCATTATATAAGCTCTTAGACGTCCATTGTATCATTCACCTTTCAGCCAATTAAGTTTATAAGAAGTTTCTTCAGTTTTTATCAAAGTTTGTTCTTTCCATAAAATATCGATCTTTAGGATTCAAAGTGTGATTCTTTGTAATCTTATTGATTTCGTGAGTATAGTTTGTTTGTGCAAATCAAACAAGCTCAGTACACAGGTTGAGAGAGTCAATCACATCGATCCATCATCCCACCAGATTGAGAGATTCAATCAAAGTTTCATCCGCAACTCCACTTCAAGTCCATCAACCGATTAGGCTGAGAGTGTCACACGACCAGCAGCTTAATTCCACCTTATCTATCCCTTTACTTTGTTTATTTACTTCTTTTCATCTTGTTTAAACCATAGAAAAACTCATAAAAATCATTCGTTTTATTTCAGGTACATTTCACAGCCATCACACTCACTCCCACAAGCCCTCATCGTTGTACCGGAACCACCCATCAGGAACCTCCGATCCTCTCTTTGTGCTAGCTGGTTTACAGCCTGTATCAGAAACTCATATCTTCTCTTCATACTTTGCACGTATAAAATTATTAATTCCAACTCTGTCATAGTTTGGGGGCAGCCCAGTAACTATTTTCTCTCTTATTTCCCATTGCTGCATCCAAATATTTGTCTTTTTTTTTTAACTCATATTAATTAAATATCCCGAAAGGAAATGTTAGGTGGAAGACATAAAAGCTTCATCACCCACCACATTGTCAACTACATTCATGGCCATTTTTGCTAACCCATCAGCTTGCTTGTTTTTCTCACGAGGGATCCAAGAGAAAATGGCAAATTCAAATACAGAAACAAAATATAAAATGTCTTCAATTACTCCATACAGCTCCGGTATGCACGATCTGGAGTTGATAGCCTTAATCAGTTGGGCTGAGTCTGACTCAATCACCACTTCTTTGAGTTGTTCTCTTGCACCAGCTTTTACCGCCTCCAGCAGAGCTAAGCCTTATGCCATAAGTACACAGGTGGTCCGCTTGTGGAATGTTATCTGAGAGGACGATGAGAGGAAGATCCATCCAAAACCCGCCATTGATCCTAGCGGGGACCAGGCGGCGTCTGATCGTACGGTAATCGCATTCCGCGGCGCCTGCATCGGAACCAGAGCTCTCATTACCGTGTGGGATTCCCTTTGTTCTTGCTTGGAATCCCATTCGC